TTGTGTCACTGCACTCCATGCTGGGCAACAGAACGAAACCCTGTCTCTAAAATAATTAGAGAGAGAGAGAGAGAGAGAATCAGATTCTATTGTATTTCATGTAAAGTGTTAAAGCAATTGAGATCCAGAATGTCCTTGAATAAGACATGCAACTAGGAAGAGTCACTGTCCTCTTATCATTTCCATCTTTTGCCCTTTAGTAATGAGGACACTATTTTGCCTAAGTCTTCTGGGTATAGCAAACTAATGCATCAGTAGTCATCATTGCATTTACTGTGGTAATTACGATTGTATAAATCTAACCTTTACTGAAAAACTTCCCTAGACCTCCATCAATCAACTGAAAAAAAGATTGAATTTGCCAGTTGTTTCTTTTAAAAATGTAATCCTGTTGGTTGTGTATTTTCTTTTTTGAAAATATCTAGTTTTGGCCGGGCGCGGTGGCTCAAGCCTGTAATCCCAGCACTTTGAAAGGCCAAGGTGGGAGGATCCCTTGAGCTCAGGGGTTTGAGACCAGCCTGGGCAATATAGCAAGACCTTGTCTCTACTAAAAATTATTTTTTTTTTTTAGTTAACCCGTTGTGGTGGCACACGCACTTAATCCCAGCTACTCTGGAGACTGAGGCCAGAGGATTGATTGAACCCACAAAGATAAAAGAGTCCATTCAAAAGGAAGATATAATAACTCTAAATTTGTATATACCTCATAACAGCTTAAAGTATATAAAGCAAAAATTAATAGAACTAAGAGAAATCACTTTCATAATTAGAGATGTTAACATACCTCTCTCAGTTACTGATAGAGCAAGCAGACAACAAATCAGAAGGGATCTTAATGATTTGTATATTATTAACCACCTTGACGTAATTGGCATATTTAGAACACCATACCAAACAATTGCACAATACACTTTCCAAATACACATAATTGGAGATAACGTATTATAAATTTGGAAAGCAATAACTGTAAACTTCTGTTGTTTATTTGTAACTTGGACCATATTTGAGTTACATAGGAAAAGCATTAAGTATAAATGGTCTAAACACTCCAGTTATCCTACCACGTTGGGAGACTGAGGCGGAAGGACACTTGAACCCAGCAGTTTGAGACCAGCTCCGCTCACTGCAACCTCCACCTCCTGGGTTCAAGCGATTCTCCTGCCTCAGCCTCCCAAGTAGCTGGGATTATAGGCATGTACCACACGCACCCACCAGATGATTTTTTGCTACTTTTAGCTAGAGACAAGGTTTCACCATGCGTTGGCCAGGCCTGGTCTCACAATTCCTGGATCTCAGCGTGGTCTGCGGGCTCGCCTGCCCAAGTGCTGGGGGATTACAGGCATGAGCCCACTGTGGCCGCGGCCTCTTTTGTTCATTTTTTCTTCAACAATAGGAGAGAGCCTAGGCGTGGGGCGTGGGCTCTGGGCTCACGCCATTTGTAATCCCAGCACTTTTGGGGAGCCGAGGCAGGCGCGGATCACAATGTGGTCAGGAGATCGGAGACCATCCCGGCGTACACGGTGAAACCCGTCGTGTGTTTACTAAAAATACAAAAAAAAAAATTTAGCCGCCGGGCGCACCCCTGTGCGCCTGTATCCCGCTACCAAGCCAGAAACACGTGATTCCCGGGCTGGCTTGGCAGTGAGCGGCGAGGATCGTGCCATTGCACGTCCAGCCCAGGGAACAGAGCGAGACGCGTCTCGCAAAAGAAAAAAAAAAAAAAAAAAGAAGCAGCCTAGTGAGCCAAGGAGAATGCCGCCCTCGTCTCTTTAACCTGCCATGAGGTTTCCAGATAATAATCTGGTATTGGGTTTACACCACTCCGCGCTGCCTTTAGGACCCCGTGTGTCAGGCTGCCTGAGGTATTATCCTCTTCTCAGGTTCCTTCACAGTCCTACCTCCTTGGAGATCTCTGATTGTGTTGTAAATATATTAGGCCGCAGACTTGGGCTGTTTGCACGTATGGACAGATTTCATAGTCTTGAAATAATGTACTGCTTATGTCCG